CAGGCATAATTTTTTTCCCAAATATTAATATATCTACTTAATTAAGCAATCAATGGAGTCGAGATCCCGCCAATTCAATTCAATTTATTCACTCAAACCATGTAAATGGTACATGAGGTAAAAAAAAAATATATACATATAATACAGTGGTTCTAGCAGAAGGTGATAACTAAGGAGAACAGACTATATTACTCAGTATTAATTTTAGAAATAAAAGTACATAATTTTTTCAAAGAATCCATATCATTTTGGCACATGACTTCACAAAACTTTTGATAAAACATGTATTTAGATTAGAGCAAAATTTTTGGTTCAAATAAACTTACCTCGGTTGGTTTAAAGCACTACATTCTAAGATATAATGATATTAATTTAAACTTTTTTGAAGATTCTTGTCACTATTCAACATTTGAATATATTGATCTTTTAATCTTTGTTTGACTGTAGCAGTTATTCATTCTACATTATATAAATATTGTTCGTGCACATACCATATATTTGATAAACCACATCTATCAAAAATCTTTTGTACAAATGATATATATCAATGAGTTTTTCATTTCCCCTTAATCATGTTGTTTACGTAAATACATATATACAATTCTTCACAATTTGTTTTCTTTTACATTCACAAGTTTTGCCTAATGTTTTATCATTCTTGAGTAAATATTTATGTGTAATGGAAACCGTCCAGTTTCTTCATAAATCATATAACTTGGAATGCTACTTTTCAAATTCAATATATGTTTTAAATAACGTAAATGTACTCGTCCTAAGATCGAGACATTTAAGTCGAAATTTTGGAAGTGGCAACCATACTCATTACACAGTGTACCTACGCACTTAGTATGTTTGCAAATTACCAAAAGGCAGAAAGGTTTTTCAAAGATATAATAGTATCAAAGAGCCTCGTGTAACGATGGAATCTGAGAACTGAAAAAACAATGCATTTGATAACTATATAATCAAAATAACCCCGGCTTAACAAGAATCCTGAACAAGGGTTCATGAAATTCACAATTTAGAGAGAGGAACATATAATGACAAAGAAAAGATTTTAAGAATATAAGCATTTTCACTTTTTTGCAATAGGGCTTCAGAAACCTGTACCAAAATTGGTTAACAGTTAATAAGAGAAAATGTTAAAAGGTTAAAGATTGAAGGAAGACGGACAAAAACAGATAGCAACAGGTCACCTAAGTGACTCGTGTCTCCTAACAAATCATGAAAAATACCTTATTAAAATATTTGGACACACGTGTTTTCATAAGAACAAATGTAACTAGAACTGTCCAATAGGGACAAATACCCCCGCTGGGTTTTTCAGAGTAGGTGCCAATTCAGAAATATTTTATGGATCTAGTAAGAGGTGTTCACTATTGTCTAATAAAGTGCCCCGCCACAGCATGATACGCCCATCAAATATTGTTTGATAATCATAAATTGGTTTGGGTGCAAGAAAATCAAGTAACCTTGATTAACAGATTGACACAGATTTCAATGATCTAATTTCCATTTCTTATCATGTTTAAAATATTGTACATACATCTCTAAGAGACTTACAGCGTAGGGATTAATTAAAACAAATAATACATCATATAATTCTACACTGGCTGTGTTAGAGCTTAACAAATATCCATCTGCAGCTTTAAATTGTTTATTGCATATTTTATGAAATAATGGAAATGCTACAGTCTAATAAAAAAAAATCAAAAATTAATTATTCTTTAGACTATAAAATTCTAAGTGAGACATGACTGCAATTTGTTGCAAATATTTAAAAATTGAAATGTAATTTTTTTTCAAAGTACACATGTATAATTAATTTTAATTATATTATACAATACTAATTCAGTTTTAATCATACACTAAAACATCAATTTGTTTTAATTACATTACATTAATTGAAAGATCTTTATCTGAACTACAGCCATCAAGAACTCTTAATTAACACAAGCAACTATAAGGCCATTTCTTTTTGCCCAACTCCCAAGAGCTGAATTAAGATAATACTGCATGATGCTCTTGCCAGTTAACACCCGACAATGAACTCATTAATTTCTCTCTAATTTGACATGCACATTTCTGCTATCAAAAATTCTCCTTGACCAGTGCTTGATAATTATGCCCATGGGACAAACTGAATTCCTCTCAAATCATTAACATTTGTTACAGAATTTGCTGTAAAGTATATGATAAAAAATAAGTTTTTACTTAATTTAGCATTTTTTAATAAGGATACAACTATATTTTTACATTTTTTAGGATTATGAAATTTAAAATTTTAAAGACTTAGTTTTTAAAAAAAAATCACTTAAATTAAAGGTCACAGTGACCTTGAAATAGGTCGGGACACACCGTCTACCCAAGATCCATAAATTGTCCAAGTTTGATGATTGTAAGTCTAATAGTTTTCTAGTTATGAGCCAAACAAAATCACCAAATAAAAAAGAAAAAACGCCTCTAAAATGCAGAAAAATCATCCAATCATGATGAAAATCCCAGGTGCACACCTTCATATGGTGAATAATAAGTGTATAAATTTTCAGACAAATCCATCCAACAGTTTCTGAGAAACGGTCCGGACAAAATCTTGTCTACAGACAGACGGACAGACGGACAGACAGACGGACATGGTGATTCCAATATACCCCCCTTAACTTCGTTTGCGGGGGTATAAAAATTTAATGTGTTCTCTTTAAACAACAATAACGATGTTTTGGTGGCCCTGTAATAGTATTTTCAGTTGTGCAAAAGTTTATATTAACCGTTTCATTCCAAATCTGTCATCAGGTGTATTTTTATATACAAGTCAATTCACTATTGATAAATAAACTTTTTTTCAAAAAAAAATGACAATGTTCTATTTATATACGTATTTTTTTAGATCAATAACCCATTTCCAAATCAATAACCACGACAAAATTTGAAGAAGAAAAAATATTCCCCATGCAAGCTGTTATTCAACACCTCAAAAGATTCCACCAAATATATTCAAATCTAATCTATTCAAATGAGGTTTTTCTTTGCGACAACACTGTGTAAACGTAGTGATCTAAAAACACAGTGACCTCGGTCTACTTCATAATGACGCTTTAATTCGGTTTTCACAACAACCTTCAATATTCAGATCGTGTGACATCTCCAAAGGCCAACCAATCGTGACTGTCCTAAGACAAGACCCCGGTCATTGAGGCTATAAATAGTTGTTCGTGTGTAGTATTTCAAAATTTGGGTCATTGATCATATTTATCTAATGTATCAAAAACTATAAATCTGAATGCCAACTTCTTCAATGAAAAATTAAATTGAAAAATTCACTAAAATTTTGTTAATTAATAAAAGTGATTTTTAGGGAAAAAAACTCTCCTTAAAAGAAATTAGTCTGTCATATATTAACTAATTAAACAATTTCTTTTATACTTTGGGGCAGAATTAGACGTGCTCTAGCCTTGAAGGACAAAATGATAAATTTACGTTTGGCTTCCTTTGCCTGCAAATAGACATCAGCAATGCCGACAGACGACAACCTTGAGGGCGCGCCAAAACCTGGCGACAATTCCCAGTTTTCTGTGGAGTTTCTGAAGATAACAGAGAGCTAGATGGGAGCACAATTGATTTTTGTCAGCAAACTGCGATATTTGTCTCGATTTACTTGTCGTCTGTATCAAAGAACTTTCTACAAGTACAATGTCCTACGGCCGGGATATTGTGCATTTCCTTCGAGTACAATTTTCTTTTAATTTTTTTTTCAATGATCTGTTGTGTACTTTTAACCATAACACCAAATTTTTTGTATAGACAATAAACATTATTTAATGGATAATTTTAAAAAAAAACGCATATATATGCAAAACATTTTACCAATTCAGTCCTCTAAAAAATTCAATCTTTATAGCATTTACATAATTTTATAATTATTCACCGTTTTTGATACTCATAATGACTTTTAAATCTTTGCAACCCATTGTGAGAAGTACAGAAAAGATTTTTTAAGAATATCAAATATCTGAATGGCCTTGGTGAACACAAAAGGAATTTAAATAAACATTACGTGGTTTGAATTAGCATCCATTTTCCTCCGGAGCTAAAGTTTAAAAACATCCTTCACTTAATTCCTTTTAATGCGTTTTGACATTCCATGACGTAAAATACCTAGATTTTTTTAAAGTGAAAAATTGTCTTTCTCTCAAAATATAAGTACCTGTCAAATGAAAATGTACTTGAACTTTTAAAAAATACAATACATAGAAAATTTTTCTTGGTGACAAAAATGTTTCTGAGCAAGTCAACCCCCCTTTCAAAAAACTATAAGAAACAATTGTCTTCGAATCTTCTTTTACGGTGGCACAATTTTTTTACATCCACTTCAAAGTCTGTACAAACATTTTTTTTCTATGACACTGTAAAATTAATACCTTCACCCTAGGGTGTATATCCACACCCAAGGACACGTAACTTACACTATTTTGTACAAGTTTATTGCTTCTTTGGTCATGCCCACAGTTCGCCTGGTGTAAAGCGGTTTTTTTTTCATAGAAAATAATAATTTCTATTTCACGATCAATCAAATTCCGTGGCAATGACCCCACATCAATGGGTAAATATCAAAATCAAATTATCATACAAATTACTATCTAACACGACGTTTCAATTAAAAAGATACATTCTGTAATTTACAACTCATTCTTTCCTATCAAAATACAAACTTATATAAAATTACTTTTAAGGGTGGAAAAAGTAGTTTTAGTTCTAAAAGTATTGAGAGAGAAAAAAATAAACGTACATAAAGTCTTGAATAATTGGCACATTCAAACTACTGCAGGTTGCCATCAGTTTAATTGCGTGCCGAATAATTTTTAAACTAAGTGCGATTTTCCAAGAAATCAAACGTTTTCAATGGGGCAAGACCTTGAAATGCTTTTATTGCTTGAAAATAAATACGACAGTTTAGCAACAAAAAAGACTTTAAAGTGTAGGAACTCTTCTATTTACTTTAATGAAAAAGAACGCTCCTAAACTTAACTTTTTCATGTTAACCTGATGAGCATTCGTGTTTGCAAGGAATTGTTACTACATAAAGCAGTTACTGGCCCTATTCATTCATAAACACATTTCATTCTTATTTGGTTATATTGATAAGCAATTTATTCAAACAATCATATCTTTTTATATACATTCATTTCTAAATAAATAAATAGCAACAATGTTACAGAAATCAATCCCCAATCTTGCTGTCCTCAATCTGTCGAGAAGCCGGAAAGTACACTTTGAAACTGAAGTCCGTCTTAGGAAAAGAGCCCTGAAATTAAACAATAAAACAAGTGCAATAAAATCTAATGAAAATATGGTAAAGGTCAAACTTTTAATGAAATTTAATCATATCGCAAACGATTTTTGATAAGACTAAACATCTTAAAATTTAGCGACATCCACCACAAATAGATAAATGATACAGAAAAGGACTTTGACCAGATTTATTGTTGAATAAAATTACATTCTATAGGCACTGGTTTAAAGAATATGACCTGTGGGGAGGAATCGTGATTTTAAGCGAACACAGCAAAATTTAACTTTAAAAGGCGAATTTTGCCCCAATTTCGGCAAAAAGAAACAGAACTTACAATTTACAAGAACAAACCCATGGATTCATTTTAAGAGTTGTTTCTTAAATCTGCTGAAAAAAAATTCATTTTATATTTCTTCCTCTGATAATTTTCCATAGTAAAATAATGTGAATAGAGTGCCATTTACTGGGAAATAGAGTCTTTACCAATACCAAAAAAAAAAAAAAATCACAAACATGTGATTCGTAAAAACTAAAAAAAAAATGTCTGACTTTGTGTCATTTATTCCGTAACTAAACGCTTAAACATACTTATATAAAATTGTGACCTGCAAAACGCCAATAAAATATTGAATGTCTTAATTCTAAACCAGCTAATTACATGTATATTCATTTGCATTTAACAACCCACAAAAATTCAGTATATTTTTTGCCATAGCCATAAATACAACCCGCCCCCAAACAAACAAAAAAATGCCACAAAAGTATTTAAGAATAAATACCAAAATTAAGACTGTCATTTTTGTATATTTTAAAAACATAATAAATAGTATACAAGAACACCAAACGATACATGAACTGAAATGATCACAATTATACAATTGCATACAGAGAGATCAAGAATGGGGACGAATTAAAACAGGTTTTATGCGTGAGTATGGGCATAATAGTCTTAATAGATAAATAATACAATTGTGTATTTTCTAGGTCGGGGAATACTTTAAGTAATACTTTTAATAACTGTACACTTTTTCAAGTTCGATTTTTCATTCTTTTTTTTTTCTAAATGTAAACGAAATTTTAAAACTTAGACTATAAAGCGTTACTAGATTGTACAATACATATCCTCAACAATCATAACTACGCAAAGGTCATTATAGTTATTAGATTTTAACAAATATTACAATAAATGTATTTAAACCAGACAACGAAAAAGTATGTACAGTTTATAGACACGTTTTTTTTTGACTGGAATAAAGAGATGAAAAACGCAAAATGAACAAGCAGCAGCAGCATCGGACGTGACCAGTCTTACCTTCGCTACGAATGATTAGAGTAGGAGTACTGGGGGTAGTACGAACTTCGGGAGGAGTAACAGCAGGTATAGTCGTGGTAAATCTCGGGTTTCATGGGACGGTTCACGTAGAGACAGTCATTTTTATATCCCTTTCCCATCAAAATTTGATGGAGGAAAGTGTCCTGCAATGGTGGACGATTGCACGGGCAACTGACAGACGACACGCTGGGACTAGCGAAATCGGGTAGGACGGGGTGGTTGGGAAAGTTCGTCGGGTGACGGTAGTAATATTCCGTGTGCAGGTTTGGTCTGGGGTCGCTCAGTAGTCGAGGTCTATAGTAATAGTTTGTTGGTTGCTGCATACTCCCTGACGTTGTTAACATTTTATATCAAGTATCGGGTATATTATGTTCACAGATTTTTTTTCTTCAAAAATATTGTCACCGGTTACAAAATATTCAGCATTACATCAAACTTTTCCTTGAAAGAAATCTCCTCAAAAGTTCCAATGAATTTATTTTTCTTCAATGAAAATGAAATTAAAATTTCCCTCTAAAAATCATATAACTTTTCATAACGAAGTTTTTCATTCAACTGACAAAACAAACAAGGTTTTCTTGTAATTGTACCGACATCACCATTTTTAAGGTTGGGCAATTCCAAAGCGTTGGAAGAATTTTTTGAAAGTCACATTTATAGAATTCAGTCAAGGATGCATCGTACGGCGTGTCGAAATCAATAGCATGCCCACGTGGAGAGTGGCGTTTTCCGGGTCAGGGTTGACAACACGCGATGCCATCTGATAAAAGGAACACACAAAAAAACTCGGATCCATTTTTAAAACTCTGACGGCAACGTAATTAGTATTGAAAGAATGAAAATTCTTTAAGTCCTTTTATTCACCTTCTTTATTGCTAGGTAATATCGGGGAATAATTAACTAAAACATTCATCGCTTCATTTGAAGTGTTTTAAAATAGTATAATACGATTAATATCCGACAGCGTTTTATCATTTTGCAACCTTTTCTTTTAATTAATCATATAAAATAATGGCGACAATCCTTCTGTTAATTTCTATTAATTGATACATGTACCTGATGGCGAAAATATATAATTTGTTAACATTTGCCATTATTAATTGATAAAGTGCATTGTTGTCCCCGAGCAAATTAGCTTTTCTTTGCATAAGGAAAAAATCAAATACTTTGAATCTAATCCAGTTTTTATTTCCTTTGCTTCCATATTCAGATGCGGTGAAAAAAATACACGAATACCCCAATAGTGATTTCAAACTGGTTCTGAATAAGTCCAAATTTTATTAAACTGATATTCTTCTGGGACATGACATCAGTTAAGAATTTACTGTAAACAAAATCCCTTGGCAGGGGTAGTGGCTAACTTTTTTCAATACCAAATATCTTTCAATTCAAACTTTTTGGGGTTAATTTTCTTATAACACTACCCTTTGCTGAAATGTGGGGGGGCCAACCTTCCTTTATATTTTCTATAGTAAAGGTATATAGGATACTACGCCCCTGCTTGGTTCCTTAAATTTGTTTCCTTTAAGGAAGTTGATTTTATTGCGTGGAGAGTCATACGTATAATTCTAGTTGTTCCCAGGCAATTTAAATCACTGTCATTTATGCATAAGATCCTATAATTAACAATTTCAATATAAACATACTTGAGAAAGCTAGGACAATTTATTACCCATATGACAGTTTTCTTCTCAACATACAATATCAATTTCTTGAGAATCTCAATTTTGGTCCTACTTATCAGAAGGATACGCTATCTAACAATAAACATTTATTGACTGAGGTCGAGGGCAACATGCGTTTTGTCGGACCCAAGAACTAAACTGTCTGTTTGAGGCCGTTAGGTCGAAGGCAGACAGTTTGGTTCGAGGGTCGACAAAACGCATTTTTCCGAGAACACAGTCAATTAATGTTTTGTTATACCTTTTATTTTAATTTTTTTTTTACAAACATGTATTTTGTACTGCCTTTCGCGATGTAACATCTGGTCCGTCACTTTTCAACACATACGAATGGAAATGAGATAAAGCTCCGCCCATTCCGTGACGTAAGCGGTCCAAAACCTCACTCAGCGGTCCAACATCGATTTTTTTTAATGCCCGCTCAGCAAAACATTAGAAATGTACGACTATTTTCCATATAGATTTGTAGAGGAACAATTCTTTAAAGGTATAACAAAATTTTGTGGTTGTTCTGTCTTTTTAGGGCATTAAAATTCAACGCTGACTTCCTATTTATATCGGTTGAGGATGATGCAGTTTATCCGCATTTTCAGGATGAACTTCTTGGAGCAGAAATACCAAGATCCTGTACCCCACAACATCTTATTTATATATAAAACTTTATAAACAATTAAGGAACATATTCTGAGTTTGAATGATTTTTTTTCCTTTTTAGATTATTATCAGCTATTGTTATATTATGCATCAGACCAAGATGAGGATATTTCAAGGGAGGGCAAGGAGATAGAAACAAGCAAAGGGAATTTTGTCCCCCTTTCAGAGGAGATATGGAAGAAGATCTAAAAGAAATGAAGATAGAGAAAGAAAAAAAGTCAACCTTGACTTTTCAGCTTTTAACCATATGAATGTCTGATCTTGACGTTTAACCTAAAACCATCAAAATCAGTAGGATTTTTCATTAGTTCAGAAGGAATTGTAATAAAATTTCATTGCAAAAGCTTCAAGGCATTTTGAGATATTGTCCAAAAATGTAAGTGCTGTTCACAGACAGACAGACAGTTGGAGGAACATGTCCAAATTAATTTTCTCAACTTTCAGTGAAAAAGGGAGCCCATTCTGTGACACAAGCGGTCCAACATCTCACTGACCAGTACAACATCTCACTCAGCGCTCCAACATCCAATTTTTTTTATGCCCGCTCAGCCAAACATTAGAAATGTTAGACTTTGTATTGGAATAAATTTTTAAAGGTATAACAATAATATATGCATATATCAATATTAGATAAATGTTGTACCCTATCATACAACATAAAATGAGCAGACAAAAAAAAAAAATTTTATGGAAGAATTTTAAATGCTTGTGTACTTATTTTAAACTGAAGAGATTCTATTTTAGCTTGAAAATAATATGGGCAAAAAATTAATAAATATAATGCTCTCATATTTCCTGTACTTTTTTATTATCTACTTTTTCAAAAGCTAGTTAATTATGGTAAAAATTTCAAAAATATTCCATTTTTTAACCCTATAACACATAGACCAACTTCCTAAAATGCATACTGGTCTTGCTTCAAGCACTTCCTGTTTCACCCCTTTTTTTTATTTAACCCTTTGAAAAGTAATTATGTTTCCAAATTTGAAAAGTTATTGGTCATACCGACTAAAGAATGTTTTATATTCCCTGGAGAATAATTTTTTTTTTGCAAATGGGAGTTTTTGCACTGCCTTAGTAATGTCAAAAGTGAAATGATAGTGTTTATTCTTCTAAAAATAATGATTTTTTTTAAGACAGCTACTTCACAATCTGATTGAAATACAGATCTCTAAAATAGCACAAAGCACTTTCTGATACAATAGTGAACTGTATTTTAATCAGAGTGGCTACTTCAAATTGCCATTTTTTTTTTATTACATTTAAACTTAATGTGCCTTTCCAGAATGGAATCATATTGAACAAGCATTATGAAATTAACACAATAAAAATATCAAATAAGA